TGAAAAATATTACCGTTGTGGAAGTTGCCTTTAGATATACTGCTTGGTCAGTTTAGTTCGAAAAAATAAAATAAAATAAAATACCAGTATGACAACAATCCCTCACTCAGTTGTAGTGTTTCACTTACATACAAAGAAATGCAGACAAAATGTCTGTCCTATCCTCCTCCAGTATTTTAATACAAAGTCTGTCAGTTTGTCTCAAAGGATCCCTTGCTTGGAGTGACAGCAGCTCGGTCTCGGTTTGTACATGAAAGCAGTGACACTGTCTGTTAGGGGCATAGGTGCCATAGAGGGGAACATAGGAACATTCTCCCCCAGAGAGAGACGGACGAGGTGTCTACTATCTTAATCTAAATTAGACCCTACAACAGTTCAGTCCCTTCACACGGAAGTGAAACTGACAGCCATTACCACCACAGAGACAGGTGTCTTATTTAATTAGTCATTGACTATCACTACTAGTTCCTTGCTCAGAGCTCAGTCTGTTGTTTACATGGAGAAATAACAAATGACAGCTAACGCTATAGACAGAGAAGTGTCTTCTGTTGTGGTTAGCCAGAGTCATTGACAATCACTACCACCAGGTGTCTTCTGTTGTGGTTAGCCAGAGTCATTGACAATCACTACCACCAGGTGTCTTCTGTTGTGGTTAGCCAGAGTCATTGACAATCACTACCACCAGGTGTCTTCTGTTGTGGTTAGCCAGAGTCATTGACAATCACTACCACCAGGTGTCTTCTGTTGTGGTTAGCCAGAGTCATTGACAATCACTACCACCAGGTGTCTTCTGTTGTGGTTAGCCAGAGTCATTGACAATCACTACCACCAGGTGTTCTTCATCCAGATTGCCCAAAGTTCTGCGAGCGGTCTGGAGGAACTGCTGGGAGAAGTCACAGGGGGGGAAGGCGTACAGCATGCCCCCCTTTCCCCCCTCCTTAGCCCCGCCTACCGGTAGACTGATCACCCCTGCAGCCTCCTTGTTCCTCAGGTAGGTGACCAGGTGACGGAGGAGTCTGATCTGTAGGCCTGGTTCAGGTGGAGGGGCCTCGCGGTCGATTGGGCCCTGGAGGGCCAGAAGAACAGCGTAGCCCTCGGACCCACCCTGCTTGATCCTCCTGGTGACCTCGTCCAGCCTGGTCTGGTCCATCCTCAGTCGCTGGGCGATCTTAAGCTGGGTCAGTTTCCCCTTCGCCTGGTGGTCCTTCATGACAGAGTGGAAGAACCCAGAGCCTCCCTCGAGCAGGTGCATGTTAGCGGGGAAGCAGCTATTCTTCAGGGCGAAGTGACCGTGCCAGGCTTTGGCGAGGGTGGCGGCATACTCCGACAGCGTGCTGAGTGTCCTGGGGTCTTTATTAGGCGTGTCAGACGAGGTGTGGTTGTTGTCGCTCGCGTTTCTGTGGTTGCGGTCACGGTCGCGTTCCTTTTCCCTGTCCCCGCCGGTCTTCAGACCACCACCCCGGTCCTCGTTGGAGTGGCGGCTGCTGTCAGGGCTCTGTCCCCTGGGCTCGGTGGTGGAGTCTGGGGCTCTGACCCTGGCTCTGTCTGGGCTGTCCTCTGGAGAGGCTGGTCCTCCTCCTCTCACCTTGGACCTGCCTCTCTCCTTCTCCTGAGAGGGCCTGTCTAGGGAGAGGCTGTGGCGTCTCCGTCTCTCCCCCCCAGCCCGCGCAGCATCCCTCTCCTTCAACCAGCGCTCTCGGCTGCGGCTCCGGGCTGCTCGGTCCCCCCACCCTCCACGGGATCCCCCAAAAGCTTCACCCCCCCTACGCTCCAGGCTCTTGGTTGGGCTGGTGAACTCTCTGTCCCCCCTGTCCCTGTCCAGCAGAGCCCTCTCTCTCTCCCGCTGGGTGAACAGGGCGTGGGAGGGTGGTGAGCGGTCCCTGGTACGGAGCTCTCTCTCCAGGCTGCAGTCGCGGTGCCTCCCGCCGTACCCCTCTGGCACCAGGTCCAGGTGGGCAGGCAGGGGCACAGGGGTCTGGTACCCCACTGGGTAGCTACGAGGCAGGGGCTCCTCCGCCTTGGCAAAGTCCACCCTCAGCCTCCGCTCTGGGCCTCCCAGGGGGAAACCTCTCATCTGGGCACAGGCGGCCTGGGAGGCATCCAAGCTTTCATACTGAATATAGGCAAAATTGTCCCCTTTCACATAGTCTATGTTTCGGATGCTGCCGAAGCGGTCAAACTCTCGGGCTAGGGCTGCTAGGGAGTTGCTAGGGCCGAGGCCACCTACCCAGAGCCTCGTGGTGGGGTTAGCTTTACCATAGCCGATCTTCACTGGGTTCCCACCAATCACACGGCCCTGCATGGCTATCTTGGCCCGGTGAGCCATGTCTAAGTTCTGGAACTTGAGGAAAGCGTAGGCTCCCCCCTGACCACGCGCCGGACGTTTAATCACAACTTCCTCAATGATGCCGTACTTGTCAAACCCTCTCCTCAGCTCGCCCTCAGTGACATTGTGATCAAGGTTGCCAATGAACAGGTTCCTGCATGCCCGCGCATCGTCCTCTGGCTTTATGTCTTCATGCTCAGGTACTGGCAGCCCGTATGGCCGCCCCCTCTCATCCAACATCCCATAGTAATCTAAGATCCTTTCCCTCTCTCTGCTCAGTCCCAAACCCTCTACAGGGTAGTGTCTCAGTGGTCGGATGTCTCTGATACTGCTAACTCCAGCCCCGGGGGAGAGGGACCTCTGTCTATAAGGGGGATATGGGGCGCCATGAATGGGAATGTAGCCCACATCCGGCGGTGTGCAGCTGCGACGACGAACGTACATGGGCTCTACTTTAAGGGGGCGATCATACAGCACTAACCTGGTCTTTGCATGCCTGGCCTCTTTAGCGTCCTCCAGGTGACGGAAATTCACGTAGGCAACCCGGCCCAGCTCTGGAGTGTGAGATAGTTTCACACTAACGTCCCCAAACTTTTTAAACTCGTGGAACAGTCCGTCTTCAACATGTTCGTCAGAAAGTACCGAGCCTAGATTGCTAATGAGCAACGATTTGTATTCCAGAGTCCCCCCCGCTCCCCCCCGGGGGCCCAGTAGCTCGGTCGACGCTTTGCCTTTAGGCAGGGCGGCTGTAGTCCGGAGAGGGGGGCGGCCGATCAGACTGAGGTCGTGGTGTTGTTGTCGGTGGTGGAGGGGGTCTCCAGCGGCCCCGCGCTCCTCCCGAAGCCGCGTCTTTTCTCGTTCTCTACTCCTGCTCCGAGCATTTTGCCTTCGGCTTTCAGCGAGCAGCAAAGCAAGCGGTGGGGGCGGTAGGTCCTCTCTCCGTGCCCCATCTCGTTCACGCTCTCTTTCCCGTATTCGTTTCGCTAAAGCCCGACTAGGACTGGAGTCCCTCCCGGCCTGTCGTTTCATTTTCAAACGATGCCCAAACTTTTTAGCTAGCTAGTTAGCCAGCCAGTGTCTGCAGAAATAATTCGGTCTGGAATCAAATTCCTCGGTTTTATCAGACCTTGCACAGACACGGACGATTTAGTAACTTGTAACTAATGTCCGCGACGTTGAGACTTTGTATTTATTCTGAAATAAAAGGATAAACGCTTTTAAAAACATATTAACATCGGTGTACCTACATCGACGCCGCCATCTTGGACAAAAGGAATGTGCGCGTTTCGCCAATGGGAGGGGTTTGAGTCGACGTAGCGGGAGGGGTAGTGACGTCACATATAACGCATTTTTCCCTAACCTCAATTTTGCAAATAATATGCGACACAAATTACATAATTTGACAGGAATTTGTATGTATCAGGTAAACTTATACTGTGCCAACATGAAATAAATGGTGCGTGTATTTCTATCTGGTGACTACAGTGCATAAACACTGCAGAATATCAAGTGCATTTCCAGTTACATTCAGTCAACACGCAAACCTACTGGAATAGACTCGCAATAGGTGAAATTGATACAAAGAGAATCAGATAGCTCAGTAGAAATGACCCAGCATCTGATCGAAAAGTTTGACTAAGTTCCTTATATTAATCATACGTTAATGACATACACTCCTCCCATTAGTGAAATATGTTGTTTATGCTGTTCTTCAGAAGCTCCCTTCAAGGGCTGTGACATTCAGAAAAAAGCTTCCAGAGAGTCATATGCTTTGGTAATGTAGTTAAATCAGTTGGTGCACAACTATTCATGCAACATTAGATATCCATCTGATCATGGCACTTCTGACACAGTTTTTTTTTTTTGTGTATTTTAATGAAAAAGTATAGCACAGTTGTAATAAACATCAGGTCTTACATGAAAGGTTCAGTGTGAAAGAACAGCAAATTTCCTTTCAAGTTTTGTATTTTCCTCAAACTTCTTTCCAACCTCATCAGTAGAGGATTAGGGACAGTGTGGGTGCAGGTACTTGTTCTAGCCAAGCAGTGCCACACCTCAGTATCACAACTCAACGGTCTTCGATTTACAGACTGATTAGCAGAATCAGGACCTTTACTTACTGCTTGTCTGGAACAAATACCTGCACCCACACTGTCTAGGACCCTCTGCCTAAAAGCTTGTACACCCCTGTTCTATTTGATTATACCGTTAATTAAGTCAAATAATAAAGTCTATCCCTTCAAAAAGAAACTAAGGTCATGTACAGACTGTCGGGTGGTTCATATACCGCACAGCGAACATTACACACCACAAAATACCCTCAGGGCCACCATGGCCCCTTCACCAGGGCCTGTAGTCACAAAGTATCCCCCAAATGGCACCATATCCCCTACTTAGTTCACTATTTTTGACCAGGGTCCATAGAGCTCTGGTCAAGAGTAGTGCACTATTTAGGGAATAGGGTACTACTCGGGACGTACCCACAGTGTCTCAGAGTTGAGGTGTGACCTAGGATCAGGTGGGTCCACCATTTCTTATTCATTATGATGTAAAAGGCTAAACTGATCCTACATCAGCAGTCCTACTCCAAGACACTGAAAACGAACACAGGTCTGCATCCCCCTCCGTTTCGTTACAGATCTGTCCTTGCTTGGGCTGCGTTGGGTGCGTACTTGGGCATGAGTTCATTGATCTTGCGGATGAAGTCAGACTTTTCCGCGCAGCCTTTACATGACTCTCCCCACTCCTCCAGGATCTTCTTCAAGTCCTTTACCTTCAGTTTCTTCAGGTCCACTGTGCTCAGATCCACCTGTTTGTCTGCAGGCAAGGGAGAGAGGGAAGTAAAGATTATAGTGGAATGGAGTTGGATTCGTAACCTCACTCCTGAGCTTGAAACGTCACCGCCCGCAATGCCGAACTGCTAGCTTTTCGGTGGTGTAACTGGCTAAGAACGTTTCAGGAGGGGTTTCAGGAGGTATGTCAAGTCTGTGCGGCAGAGGATTCGAGATGGAGTAACACTCTATTCTATGCTCCAATGTGATTCACTGACAACATGGGAGCACACAGTAGAATGCAGAGTCTCTTTCCACCTTCTATATAGAGAGAGAAGGATCACATTTCACTGCCAGGGCAATCATAGTCCCACACAAACCTCCACAGACAGGCCACGGTACGGTAATGACGTTCAAAATAGGTCTTCGTCAGACACCCGCGTTCGTGTATATACTGTAAATAGCTTGTACAATGTAGTCCTATGTGGCTATGTCCAAATACAACAACTATGCATGATCCACAAACAATTATCCACTGGTATTGTGACGGCTATAAAGAACAATATTGGCTAAACGTTTTGTGGTAGTCTCATGAGACTAAACTACGGGAACTAACGAGGGACAAAATAGGTAATAGGAGAAATGTCCTGTGTGGCTCAGTTGGTGTAGCACAGTGTTTGCAACACCAGGGTTGTGGGTTTGATTCCCACGGGGTACCACTACAAAAAATGTATGCACTCAATACAGTAAGTAACTCTGGATAAGAACATCTGCTATACTGAACTAAAATATCAACGCAACATGTAAAGTGTTGGTCCCATGTTTCATGAGCTGAAAGAAAATATCCCTGAAATGTTCCATACCCACAAAAAGCGTATTTGTCTCAGATTTTGTCCACAAATTTGTTTACATCCCTGTTAGTGAAAATGTCTCCTTTGCCAAGATAACCCATCCACCTGACAGGTGTGGCATATCAAGAAGCTGATTAAATAGCATGATCATTACACATGTGCACCTTGTGCTGGGGACAATAAAAGGCCACTAAAATGTGCAGTTTTGTCACACAACACAATGTCACAGATGTCTCAAGTTGAGGGAGCGTGCAATTGTTGCCAGAGAATTGAATGTTAATTTCTCTACCATAAGTCACGTCAGTCGTTTTAGAGAATTTGGCAGTACGTCCAATCGGCCTCACAACCGCAGACCACGTGTATGGCGTTGTGTGTGTGAGCGGTTTGCTGATGTCAATGTTGTGAACAGAGTGCCCCTTGGTCGCGGTGGGGTTATAGTATGGGCAGGCATAAGCTACGGACAATGAAGAAAATTGCATTTCTTAAAAATAAAAAAAATCGATGGCAATTTGAATGCACAGAGATACTGTGACAAGATCCTGAGGCCCATTGTCGTGCCATTCATTCGCCTCCATCCCCTCATGTTTCAGCATGAAATCCACGGCCCCATGTCGCAAGGATCTGTACACAATTCCTGGAAGCTGAAAATGTCCCAGTTCTTCCATGGCCTGCATACTCACCAGACATGTCACCCATTGAGCATGTTTAGGATGCTCTGGATCAATGTGAACGACAGCGGGTTCCAGTTCCTGCCAATATCCAGCTACTTCGCACAGCCATTGAAGTGGAGTGGGACAACATTCCACTGGCCACAATCAACAGCCTGATCAACTATATGCAAAGGAGATGAGTCGCACTGCATGAGGCAAATTGTGGTCACACCAGATACTGACTGGTTTTCTGATCCAAGCCCCTACCTTTAAGGTATCTGTGACCAACAGATGCATATCTGTATTCACAGTTATGTGAAACACAGATTAGGGCCTAATGAATTTCAATTGACTGATTTCCTTATATGAACTGTCACTCAGTAAAATCTTTGAAATTGTTGCATGTCGCGTTTATATTTTTTGTTTAGTATAAATGACTAAAATGTCAATGTAGACAACATTGAGAAGGCTTTAGCTGTCAGAGAGACACGTAGTACTGAGCGATATTAACATGCTGTGTATGTTACATTAGCTTAGGCTGTATACATCATTATGTTATACACATCGTAAGTGTGGTTCAGAACTGTAGTATTGATTTCACTTAAACAACTGCATACTAAGTCATGTGAGATGGGTCCACCTGGGCGGCAGGTAGCCCAGCGGTTAGAGCACTGAGCCAGGTTCGAATCCCGGAGCCGACAAGGTGAAAAATCTGTTGATGTGGCCTTCAGCAAGGCAATTAAGCCCAATTTGCTACAGGGGCGCCGTACTACTATGGCTGACCCTGTAAATCAACACACTTCACTGCACCTATCCAGTGTATTTGACAATAACACATAGATTTTTTTTTTTTTTTAATACTTTTTTTCTTACCGTATTTCAGTTCACAGATCTGACTGTCCTTTTTCTTCAGTTTCTCACAGATCTTGTCCACTGGTGTGTGGTAGCTCAAGGGCTTGGAGATCTCGTTGAGAATTTTGGTGGCTGCATCACTTGTTCCACCAATGTAGTAACACTAGGGTAAAGAAGGAAGAAAATTACAGCAATGAATCAACAACAAACCCAGTGGATAATCTGGATAGGACACAATGTAATTTACCGATTAGACTTCCATTAAACTAAAACAAAAAGATTAGCCTAAATCACTTACAAAGCGGTTTTCCTTGCCCTTGGCGTCTTTGCAGGTTTTGACGAGGGCCTTCTCGATGTCTGCACTGGTGAATTTCACATTGTTGTCTTGTAACGTCTGGTAGAACCGACCCAGGAAGCTCACACACACTGAAAGGCAAAACAAGAAGACACCGTCATCGGTAAGACTGTAAAGTGGCGACACATCATGACTTACACATTCCCTTATAGGCTAGCTAAACTTCAGATAAAAACATTTCATCTAGACCAGAAATAGGTAACTCCAGTTGTTGTAGACATATGGGTGGGCCAGGATTTAGACCTACAAACCTGAGTTATGTTATGGTCAATCAGTCTATGTTATGACACTTATGGATAAACCTGACCAATTCTACTCAAGTATGATCAGCCATCACATCTGAGATAAGAATAACAATTTCACGAAGGACTCAAGAAGCACAAAACGTCACCAACTGAAACCACATGCAGTAACTGGCCTTGGGCACAAGCAAGGCTTTAATGAGCAATTAGCTATATGACTTCATTGACAAGTACTAGCTAAGCTAGCTAGCTACAACAAACTACAATACTTCTTTAAAAAATATATGTATAGCCAGAAGACCACATTGAAAGAGATCTTCTCAGCTATTGTATTGTAGTTAGCAAGTCAAAATCAATTTGGTGAAGATTGACTGATAATTCATGGAGTTGTACAACATAAGTTTCACAACATAGGTTGCCATAAAACTTAGCTACTACTAACTAACTATATCCATAGTTAGAGTGACGTAAATATGAGACAAACCAACCCACCTTCACAATCCCCATCTTTCAAAGCGTCGCTACTACTCGGTACCAACGCTAGCGCCGCGAGGGCGACCGATAAACTACTCAAACACAACATTTTACGATGAATAAACGTATTCTATTTTAGCTAGTTAGATGCAAATGTTACGATACAAAACTATTTAGCTAAAAATGATAACTACACATGAGCATCCAGAGTCGACGCCGGTAAATGTGAACACGCAATGTCCTGATTCTGCGAAGCTTCCTGCTAAACACATCAACCTATGCAGGATTCCCATTGGTTCTCCTTTCACTCTCTAGAACGCGATTGGTTCGTTTCCTGCAACAGTCCACGCAGTTTTCTCTGATTGGTCTGGTGCTCTTCGTTCCGGGGACATCGTCCAGTTGGCGCCATGCGATTGGATTAGAGCTCTGTATATTACTTTAAAGCAGAGATTTATATATAATGACGAGATGCTCATGTCTCCACCCTAACAACAAAGGCGGGAAGGTCCAAGATGAGCCCATCGAAACGCATTTGTCTTATTTTGGATAGATTTTGACAAGAGTGAAATCTCTCGTTTTGCCTCTTCCTCTCTGTTTACAGTCATATCTGATCATTTCCGGTAGGAACATCAGGCATAGAGCAGAAAGTGACTGCTCTTTATTCATTGGGATAATGTTGTCTGTGTCAATTTGTATAATATGATATAATATAGATCATAGAATAGAATAGAATAGAAAGCACAATAATATGGTCACCTCTCTGGTTTAGGCTGTTTTACAGGATGTTGGTGTAAATCAGGCAACCATGAATTTATGCTGCGTTCATGTGCTAGTCGGAACTAGGTTGTAGTTCCGAACTGGTTGTTGTTAAACACGTGCCACGTTTAACCCGTTAGCAACCCGGTTTCATTTCCACTCCCCACCAAATATGGCGAGGAGAGGAAAACCAGTGGGCGTTAGTGGGAGAGTATGAAGCGAGATGTAACTGGGGCCGACAACTGCGAATTTTGTCATCGATGAAACATCTGATATCAATATAGTTTTCTGTTCTCGAAACAATACTCTGTTACGAACAGAGTGGATTACATTTTGTAGACTTTACCCTTTGCCAGTCTCTAAAGTTGTTTAGTAATGCGAGGGCGAATTGAGTCATTGTAAACGCGCACTTCATACGGTGGGTAACTAACCTAACGGAAATAAACAAAATACTTGCTAGATCTCACTAGCTCGTTCTTGGCTCTTCCCACCTCCTTGCCTGTTCTGACCACTATGATTCATTTGCTCCCATTGGAAACGGCAGGTGGTGGTGTATCTTGAGTGTTGTAAAAATCTTCGATGGTACTATACAAGCATATCAAATGACCTTAACCAATTTAGAAGTTTAGCTAAAGAACCCCAGACAAAAATTATTAGTGAATGGCGTTAAATCAGATGAAATTATACATTTACAGTACACGCAAATGCTAGGATAATGACCTAGTTATGTATTTTCCCATCACTATAACAACTGATAAATAATGACAAGTTGAAGCAGCAGCGAGTCAATAAAACATGATATTTAATGTTAGGCATTAATAATAGTGAATAAATTCCACATCACAGTAGTTGAAGTGAGTAGGAAAAAAGTGTTTCTATTTACATCTAAAATCCACATCACAGTCGATTCATGCTAACACAATATATACAATAAATTACTTTTAGAGTGATTAAAGGTTTTGTATTCTGTAAGAGAGACAGAAGTAGAACGTATCTCACTAACTGTCCAGAGTTGTCCAGAATTGATGCAAAATAAACAAAAATAATTAGGCAAAATTAAAAAAGTCACATTTTTTGTATGTTTTTTTGTCTAGTTTTTCTAGGTTTTAAAAACACATTTACATCAGAAAGTACAAGGCAGACAATTAATAATCACAATCTTTATATGGTTTGCCTGTTTTAACCTTATGAATACACCGCGTTATCATGGTTATTTACAGATAATAGAGAAGAGACTGACAAGATGGTCTGGAGGTAAAGAACTGTAATGATTTTAAAAATGTTTTGTACCTCCATTTGTACGCCTCATTTGTAACTTGTACCGCCATTGTACCCCCCAACCTAGATCCTACTGCAGTTTTCTATATTTACAAAGAACGACTGAAAAAATAAGCATTTTCATAAGTTATTTTCTTGCTTTCTATTCCACTCAATTATCTCCATTGGCCCTGACTTGTCACAAAGTACGACTAAACAACCATTTATTCATATTAAATGATAGGCTACACATAATGAAATACTCTGTACCCTGTTCCCAGAACAGTGTGTCATTCTGCTGAATATACTCAATATACTAGACATAGATCAATTGTAATGTGTGTGTATGAAAGTCAAGTGTGTATGTAATAATTGCTTGAGTAGATAACAATAAGGGAACTACACTGAACCAAAAAATAAATGCAACATGAGCTGAAATAAAAGATCCCAGAAATATTCCATACGCACAAAAAGCTTATTTCTCTCAAATTCTGTTCACAAATTTGTTTACATCCCTGTTAGTGAGCATTTTATCCTTTGCCAAGATAATCCATCCACCTGACAGGTGTGGTATATCAAACAGCATGATCATTACACAGGTGCACCTTGTGCTGGGGACAATAAAAGGCCACTCTAAAATGTGCAGTTTTGGCACACAACACAGATGTCTCAACTTTTGAGGGAGCATGCAATTGGCATGCTGACTGCAGGAATGTCCACCAAAGCTGTTTCCAGATAATTTAATGTTAATTTCTCTACCATAAGCTGCCTCCAATGTCGTTGAGGAGTATTTCTGTCTGTAATAAAGCCATTTTGTGGGGAAACACTCATTTTTATTGGCTTGGCCTGGTTCCCCAGTGGCTTGGCCTAGTTCCCCAGTGGGTGGGCCTGGTTCCCCAGTGGTTGGGCCTGGTTCCCCAGTGGTTGGGCCTGGTTCCCCAGTGGCTTGGCCTAGTTCCCCAGTGGGTGGGCCTGGTTCCCCAGTGGGTGGGCCTGGTTCCCCAGTGGTTGGGCCTGGTTCCCCAGTGGCTAGTTCCCCAGTGGGTGGGCCTGGTTCCCCAGTGGGTGGGCCTGGTTCCCCAGTGGTTGGGCCTGGTTCCCCAGTGGCTTGGCCTGGTTCCCCAGTGGGTGGGCCTGGTTCCCCAGTGGGTGGGCCTGGTTCCCCAGTGGTTGGGCCTGGTTCCCCAGTGGCTTGGCCTGGTTCCCCAGTGGGTGGGCCTGGTTCCCCAGTGGGTGGGCCTGGTTCCCCAGTGGTTGGGCCTGGCTGCGTCCCTGCCCAGTCTTGTGAAATCCATATATTAGGGCCTAATGAATTTATTTCAATTGACTGATTTCCTAATATGAACTGTAACTGTAAATTGTTGCATGTTGCGTTCATATTTTAGTTCAGTATACATATGTGTATTTATATAAATAAATCAAATCAATTGAGAGACTTTGCATAGGTAATTGGTCATAGGTCATATGCATAACATGTTCCCTATTCATATCCTGTCAGCTCTGCTCATATTGAGAGAAAATAATAATGAACGCTATTATTGACTTTACATTTTTTAAATTTAAAATGATTTGAAAAGTTAAATGAAAACATGGAGGAATTCATGCTTTTTCAACAACATGGCTCATAGAGATGCAGTTGCTTATCATAACTAACTAATAAGTGTTACACTGGCTGGTGTCATCCGTGAACACACTTTCAAATAAAATCACTAATCCACACTCTTCACTCCACAGACCCATCATATCATCCAAATAGTCTGCAGCAGTGTTCCAAGGCTTTGGCCCTGTCCTTTATATTATTTGCATACCAGTAGTGACTATATTAGTCCTCTATATCAGAATTCCATATCTTCTCCTCTCACATCAAATCCTCCAACTCTTCAATCCTCTTACACTTAGAATGATGATTTGTCTCAGTAGATTAGAAGTGCCAGGCCAGGAGGTTAAAGTGGTGAGCCCTGCAGATGAGGGGGTCCTGGTCAAAAGTAGTGCACATCATAGGGAATAGGGTGCCATTTGGGAGGCAATGGGGGAGTAGTGAGAGCACCTCTTTGCTGACTAGACTACGTGAGGGGGCTGATTAAGTTTGGCTGCTCTTAGAGTGTCAATCAAGAGGCTACAGGGTTCCCTCTGTCTGTCTGAGCCCGGAAGGAAGCCAGCTGGTGTGTGTGTGTGTGTGTGTGTGTGTGTGTCTAAGTCCTCTCTCACAGGAAATGGATAACCTTCTAGGTGCAGGCATTTTCAACACTCCCTTCCTCCCTTCTCTTGAGCTTGAGTTCCATCATCACATAACAGACACAAAACAACCTAGACAGACAGCAGTAGTGTGGCATTGCTTTTGACATGTTTCAAGTGTTATATCATGTGTTCAATAGCATATATGTTCTCTATTAGACACATATAAGCATTAGAAAATAAATTCAATTCAGTCGATTCATTTAAAAATAAAAGTCATTCTACATTAGGAGACCTGCACCTATACTCCATTACTTAAAGTAGTTTATACTGTATGTAGCCATGTCCCTCCTGAGAAAGGGGAAAGTACATGATAGAATCACCCACTGCGAAGGAGTACATGAGTACATGAAAACAGGAGGACATGAGAACATGACAACAGGAGGACATGAGAACATGACAACAGGAGGACATGAGAACATGACAACAGGAGGACATGAGAACATCGTCAAAAAGAAAATAAGAAAATGCTCTCAAGATCAGATGGTTGAATTGAAGCTGATGAGTCTACACATACAAGTATCTACACACGCGCACACACTGAAACACACACACACACACACACACACACACACAGAGAGAAACACACACACTTCCTGTAACTGTCTCGTTAGAATAATGCCCTTGAAAAAGGAAAGTGGTCTTCAAGACCTCAACAGAAGCAGTACTATCTATCTCTCTCAGCTTCTGTTGAGCTTCTATAAGTCCAACATTTTATACTGTGGTCATGATATACAATAATGTTAAGAAAAGGAACACAATGTATTTACACAGGTGAGAGAAAGACAGTCTTATAAATAATGACAAAGTAATACCCCACTTCATGGTTATCAAATCTCCCCGTTCAACTATCCAAAACAACAGAGCATAGGCCTACTGTATGCAGAGGGAGAGAGAGAGAGAGAGAGACAGAGAGAGAGAGACAGAGAGAGAGCGAGAGAGAGAGAGAGAGAGAGAGAGAGAGAGAGAGAGAGAGAGAGAGAGAGAGAGAGAG